TATCGCATATTTCTGCGCCAAATGATTTTATGATATTTATAGCATCTGTGATATAATAATTTGCGAATATATCGATATGGAAGTAAACAACAAATTTATATATTGTGAAGTGACCATACTAGGCCCATTTATACTTCGAAGTTCAACAATTTATCACTTTTTACTGTTAGTCAACATGGGCAATACTTACTTAGGATTTAAGATACTTAGATGGCCTGTCTCCACTTGTCGTGCAGGCCATAGCACTATTTTCATCCGTTTCTGTTTCTCGCTAACGTCATCCACAATGTGATATTGAAGTGCGGCGGCGACCTTGCTTCGCGAGCATTCCAGAGTTTTTAGTGTCCCTTTCGTCTGTCCTTTTCGTTATATGACCAGTCCGTAGATGTTTCGCCTTAGAAATATTCCGCTCGCTCGCGAAGACGAGACATTGACCTCATATCTGAATTGCGAAGTCCGACGAGATGTTGAGTGCGTCGGTTGTACTTCACAAGACGTCGCACACTGTAGGTTGTTCAGAGAGCCTTTGACAGCCACGCTGTCAGACCACGCCTCTGCTGCGTAGCAGAGCGCCGGGAAAATATTTGAATCCAACAGGTGGGCTCGGCTTTGGGTCCGTCAGCTGTCTGTAGCTTTTTTAGGAGCCCGAAGGCGGCTCAAGCTGCTCTTGGCCTCCTGTTTAGTTATTCTTTCAGATCGTTCTTCATGTTCATTGACCCCGAGATATGTAAGAGTTTCCGCGATTGGAGAACCTTCTAATTCCATTTACTGATCCTCGCAAAAAGCGTTCTTCATGAACGAGTCTTCTTTCGGTTGATTTGCAGCCCTATATGCTTCCCTACTTCGTTTACTTCAACATCGCCTCCGCTTTAGTGATACTTTTCGAGAAGAGAACATTGTCGTTCGCAAAAAGAAGGTTCGAGAGGAATTTCCCATCAACTCGCATACCTCCCTCGTTCCAATCCAGTGATTTCATTACCCACTGTGAGGATAACCATCTTTGACGACTCGGTGTCGCTCCGAACCCTCCTGGGAATGGTTCTTTCATACGACATAAAATGTGGAGACGCGGTGCGTGAACTTTCTTTCTGACTTTTTGTTTTCGGAAAGCTTACGAAATTAATTGATCAAGTACTGAATTATTTACCACAAATGAAACATCCCCTTGTGGATCTTTATAAAAACAAAATAACGTATATAATGCCTTTGCATGCAAAATGATAGAATTAGACGTCTTTTTAAGTGCACAGAGCGTATTTATTTTGCGCAGACATCAAATTACTTTTTCTGAATTAAACTGAACAGAACTCTTCTTAGTTACAAAAAAAGGACTCCTGCCCTTTACCAAGCTACGAGTTTCAGGGCAGGAAAT